GACAACAAACGAGGGGCTGTGACAAACTGTTTCGTCGGAGTTTCACATATATATATATATATATATATATATATATATATATATATATATATACGGTTTACCGGGCAGTTCTATTTGACGATATATATATACATATATATCGTCAAATATATATATATATATATACGGTTTACCGGGCAGTTGTATTTGACGATATATATATACATATGTATATATATATATTCTTGTTGGTAACTTCTTTTTTTTTAATTTTTTAATAGAAATAGAAAAGGGATGAACAGTGGAGACGGGACGTCCGATCGTCCTTGCTCTACTACTCAACGTTCCACATGTATCTGGACGGGCAGTAGACCACACACATTTGGGCTGATCGAACATTTTGAATGTATTGGGAGCACCGCCAGGTCCAGATACATTTGCAATTTTGTGCCGTGGAGAGAGTGACCAAGCCGTCTGTTCAAAACTTTTTTTTTCCATCTCCCAAAAAAATTGGACCATTTCTTAAATTTATGCATTTATGCTTGTCTTCCTTGCACAGAGGTCATGGTAATATTCTGGGTCTTGCTCCACTCCTCTGCAATACTCACCGAATTTTGTGAGTCCAGCCTCTCTCCACTTAGAGCATGCTCACACTAGGACTTTTTTACTGATTTCTGGATGGAATTGCGGCCAGATGCCTACAGGTGTGGGCGAAATTACGGTCTGATGCATTCTGGAAAGTGCTAGTGTGAGTATGCCATTAGGGTCTCGTTAGACACTCGTAAAAGAATCCTAAATTTTTTAGGACTCGTCCTGAAGGATTTTTAGGATTTCGAGTGGCGTCTTTACATGCAATCCTAAAAATCATCTTTTAGGATTCGTCCTAAACGGTCTCCCGAGGCCGGTTTTCATATGCGTATACGCAGCCGCATCGCCAATGTCTGTCCATTCCTGGCTGGTGTCCGTGGTACACCCTACGGTGGGCCGTCGGCGGGTGAGGATGGGTCGTGGCCGTTGCCCTTGTCGACCCGCAGAAAACCTCATGCGCGCGACGCAACGAGTCGGACTCCATGAAACGCCGGAATCCTAAATTTCTCAGTAGGTCGGGGGCTACTGGAAAATTTAGGACAATTTTGCCTGGGGAATCCTAAATATTTTAGGACTCGTCCTGATGCCGTTTTCACATTTTTAATCTCAAAATTGGATTTAGGATTGTGTGCAACCAAGACGCAATTCTGAAAACAGGCACTTTTAGGAGTGTCTAACGAGACCCTTACTCACGAAAAAGTGTCTCGAAATTCGAGTTGAGAGCTGTCAGACTCCGCTCTCTATTTAGGGGCTCGCCACACCAGTGTCACAAAAAACGCTTATTGATTTTCCACAACAACTGTCAGCTATTTTTTGGCATTTTGGTGGGTTCGAAAAAAAAAACGCCTTCGCTACACAGCTCATTTCTACTCGCCGGGTTTTTGAGGCTATGGAACGGACAACAGGATTTCCACAGCGCCCCGACTCCGACAGTCGCTGAAAAGTCACTTGTTTTCACAAGCTCCCTATTGTGGTTTTGAGTTTTGGCCCACTGCAGGCAGGCCCGCGGATTCGGGTTTGAAAAAAGAAAAAAAGAAAAAGTAAAAAGAGTCTGGGTAGGCAACCGCGGCGTTGGGGTGTCGGGTAGGGGTAGTGGTGCCGTGTAGTGCTGTACTAGACGTTAGAGAGAGAGAGCCTGTGCGGCGTTAGAGAGTAAGGGCCTCGCCACACCACTCATGCTGTCGAAAACGCGCTTTTCTATAGTTTCTCTTGGCCACACAGACAGCCTGTCAAAGTTGGAGACGGGAACATGGGGAAGAAAATTCGCCGCAAGCTGTCAGAGAATGCTTCTCGACACCGCACCTCCTCCTGTCGAAAGTTGTTGAATCCCCACCCAGCCTGCAGCCTGCTACTCTGACGCAATGCTTTTCGACAGTCCTCGGCCGCACCACCGAATCTACTTCTGTTCGAAAATTTGGTGAGTGGGCGTGAGGTCGGGATGGACTGACTAATGGGTTTGTAGTACGCTCAGCCGCGTTCGTCTTTAAATTTTCCATTTTGCATTGCATTCACAAGTGCGGGCACTCTACAGTGCTGTGTGGTGGCCAATGGGGGGCAAAATGTACAAAACTTGGGAGGGTGTCAATTTTTTTCTGACAGCCGTCGAATTTTTTTTGCCTTTCTACAGTGATGTGGCGAGGCCCTAAAGGGGCTCTCCACACTACTCCCGACTTGGTGATTTTCGGGAGTGCAGCGTAGCCACACCAGCTCCTGAGTTCAACCTGTCAGATTGCATTTGGGAGGGAGCTGTCAGAATGTGACAGCTCCAGAGAGCACTCCCGAAAATTTAATCCTCTTCTCCTCCAGCCTGCAAAAGTGTGATTTCCGGAGACCTCCGAGTCGGCCGG